AAACTCCAGCCCATTCATGTCACTCCAGCTGATCTGTATAGAGTCACCAGCACACACACACACACACACACACACACACCACTCCTGTTGGTAAGTACAATAGATATTTTCCAGTCTTACCTTTCTTGATCAAGTTTTTCTTTCTAGAAACATTTCCCTCTGGCCTTGTTCACTAAATGAATGCTAGCATCTCTCTCCCTCCTCACCCTTAACAGATTTTGGCTCCTGTAATAAATAGACTCCACTTCCCTCTGACAGGGCCTGCCTTCTTTTCCTTCCTATCCACTGCTAATCTATAAAGAGAAGTCTTCAATCCCACCCCCTCTCCTCTGCAGGTGCACCTTAGTCTCTAGCACCTTGGCCTCTTGCAATCTAAGAGCCCATTCACCATTTCTCTTCTCCAAAACTGTTATATTGACTTTTAAAATGAACACACTTGGTACTGTTCATTTTTCCTCTGACCTCTTTATCTTTCTCCCCTCCCCAGTTTTTCACCTCCATTACTTTATCAGTTATTCTCAGTGGTGGCTATAAGGTTGCTGTGTTAAATAAAATAAGATGTCCAGTTTATTTCTCAGAGACCTTGAGCCTAATATTGACAAGTTCTTAATTTTTTAAAGAACCCAGAATTGTACAGAAATATTCTGAGTTTTAAGTTGGGCAACATGATTTTTTAAATATATATATATCTGAACTCACTCTGCAGGCCATCAATTTGTACCCTGTGTCTAGGATATTTGAATGGCAGTGAAAATGACTGCCATGTGCATCTTGGTATTTATAAGTACCTGACACAATTTTTCTGCATATGAAGAAACATTGAGTGAAGTTTCTTTAATAGTTACGTCTTTTCAATATTATGGATTCTGATATTTGGCACACACTGTTGTCTCATTCTTAGTGTCTGTTGTAGGCCTGCTCCTGGTGTTTCCAGTTGGTAGGTGTTGATTGTTCTGAGCATCTTGCTTCAAAGCATCTTTCTTATATCAGGCATTGTTCATCATGCTGTTCAATTGCTTCATCATCAGTTTTATGTTTTGGTGTCACTCTTTTCTATAAGATAGTGTTCCTGGCTCACAGAAAAATGGTTTGACCCTTTAAACAACACAAGTACTAGTCCAGGGTTGTGTCTTCCTTATTATAACATCTCTTTCACACTAGACAGAATAACAATGGAGTTTGAAGAAGGTTGTATATAACACTGCATTTATTCCTTCCAACAGAAAAGTTTGTGAAAATTGCTGACCGCATACTGTGGTAGCTGGTATAAAGAAGACAAAAGGCAACCTTCTGTCTTAAGCAAGGCAAATGATGATAGTATGGTGCGATGTGAGTTATTCAGAGGAGATAACATGTTTACAGGACAGGAGTGTGTCAAGTGTCGAAGGGGAGCATGGGTTGTGAACCTGAATCATCAGTTTCCAAGTCACCAGCCAACTTTAGGCACACTGTTTAATGTCCTTGTGGTCTGCTGTTGTCTCCTACGTGAAATGGGGGAATAAGTGAACCCACCCCATCAGATTAGTGCCGATGGAAGTTAATTATATTTGCACAATGCTTACAGTCTAGCATAAAGTAAACACTCAATAAAGGTTTACTGTTGGCGATTGCAGAAGATGAACTCAGCCTGGGAGGTGGGGGAGGGTGTCTACAGATAAGAAGTAAAGCTGGGGAGACTTTTTCCAGGTGTACCCTGATAGAAGTCCTAAAGATTTCTGGAACAAATATTCACCAGGCGACGTCTATGCCCTGAATACTAGATATTCCGGTGTAAAGTAACAGAGGGTAGAAATGTAGATTGAAAACTTCCCGAGCAGTAAAAACAGGTTCAAAGCCACAGCGGTGTGACAAGTCATAGTGGGTATTGGAGAGTATGAAGAATTCAAAGAGACAGAGATTAAGGTGAGGTTAAAGAGACACAACTGACAGCAAGAAATTGAAGTGGGGGTGGGGTTTCAGGCCTTCATTCTGTTCTATGGCTTCTTAGGGTTATAGAAGAAATCAAATAATGCTTTGGTGGGGGAGGGGGATAACATGATCAGATATGTGTATCTACTGTCACCTGTCCCAACCCAAATTCCTTTTTTTTGTTTTCCTTTTATTTTTTGTCATTATCTTCTAAAACTTTTATTTTTACTATTATTTTGCAGCAATTGTTTTATGTTAAAATATTTTATATTTATATTCTTTATTCCTACTGATATCTACTTTCACCCACATATGCCTTTATTCTACATTTGAATTTTTATGTCCTTTCTCTTTTCTTCACATGCTTTCCCTAATTTTCTTGTCTTATTTATCCTCACCAGTTTATTTTTCTTCTGTTTTCTTCCACCATTTTAATTTCATGGTTTTATCACTGTTACTTGCCATCTTCACCAAAAGATAAATATTGCATGATTTTAACTCCATGTAGAGGTTGGCTCTTAAGACTGTAGTATGTGTACTGCAAGCTGAATAACCACAGAGGTCATGCAGTGTATAAGGAATCAGGAAGTAGGATGGGTTCTCATGGAAGGGTAAGTAGAATAGTATTTCAAAGAGGAAAGGGAGATTCCAGAATAGGAGGATTAAACGCGGAGAGGACTGGAAGTCAAGTTAAAGCACAGAATGTAGAAAGGGATAACTAACGTTAAAGTCCTTTTTTCTTTTTTTGAACTATTTGACAGATTTTCATTTTTATTTTTTATGTATGTTTTTTATTTAAATTAGAAACATGCATGCTTCATATGTCAATCCCAGCTCCCCCCCCCTTCTCCCTCCACCAGCCCCACCCACACCTCCCACCCCCAGCCCAATCCCCACATCATTCCCCAGGGAGGGTGAGGCCCTCCGTGGGGGGATCTCCAGAGTCTGTCATTTCATCCAGGGCAGGACCTAGGCCCTTCCCCATGTGTCTAGACTGAGAGAGCATCCCTCCATATGGAATGGGCTCCCAAAGTTCATTTGTATGCCATGGTGAATACTAGTCTACTACCCAAAGCCCCAGAGATTTCTGAGGCCTTCTCACTGACACTACATTCATGGAGTCTGGATCAGTCCCCTGTGGGCCTCTTAGTCATCAGTCTGGGGTTCAAGAGCTCCCCCCTTGTCCAGTCAGCTGTCTTTGTGCCAACCCAAATTTCTTGAGTATCATTGCCTCAAAATTTAAGATGGGGTGGGGAGCCTAATTTTCTGTGCCAACCCAAGATATTTAATCTTGGGAATAAAAACACAAATTAAGCAGTGAAAATTTTCCACATTTGCAGTAAAAAGAGCACCTTGATTTGGGGCACTGGGCATTTTATCATGGAGATACTATATACTACATGGGGCTCTTTGAGTGACAGCCAACACTGGCTTGGCCCTTCTTAATCTTTCTCATATCTTTTTTTGTGTTTTCTCAGTTCATTTAACTAACAAACATTTATTGTGTTAGACACTGCTTTATGTATTGGGAGTCAACAAAGAATAAAAAAAAATGTCTAGATGCCTGCAGTTCTCTGAACTAAGTGAACTATTTGGAGATAAAATAATTGAAACAAAAAAATGAAGCAGATTAAGAAAAGCTGGGAGTGTCCATTCACCAAAGAATTAAAAAGAGATTAAAGAACTGTGAGAATGGTTTCAAGTGAATGAACAGAAACACAAAGCCCGCTTTAAGTGCAACACAAATTAGTGGGGGGGGGAGGAAGTCCCTTCTCTACACAAGGGCACAGCTGTAGTGCCCCCTTATTCACAGATGTGTGAACATATAACATATGAGATTTGTTAAACTTCCTTTTAACAATGTGGTATGGACAGTGCCTAACATTAGCCTTACATTTCCGCAACAATTTTAGGGTTTGGTGGTGGAGTGTGTGTGTGTGTGTGTGTGTGTGTGTGTGTGTGTGTGTGTGTGTGTGTGTGTGTGTAGGCGGACAGCATCCCCTAGCTTGAAACACTGCCTGCCAGAGTTCTATTCCTTACAACCTGCCCTAATAACAACCCAAACTGACAGGAACCTCTTTTTTTCCCTTGTCACAAAAACAAGCCAAACCTAGCATCAGGGAGTGGTGTCCTTAGTGATTTTTTTTTTCAATAGTTCTGATTCCAAGGAAATAATGCCACCTACCGAATCATTCCCACCAGCAGCCACTCCTGTAAAGTGCGAGCACAACTTAACCCTGGACTGTTCCAAATGTCTTCTGATTATTTTTTAGTCTAAATAAATAAATAAATAAGTCACTATTTGGGCTGACAGGAAGTTAGGCTCTGAGCGCGGATATCTGATAAACGTTTCCACATAGTGTCGCCTTCTCAATAGCTAAGCCAAACTTCAATCTCCTCTCTGCCTGCCTATTCCTTTTAATTGGGCTTTCTCCTTCCGAATGCCGACTCTCTGCAGCCTGCAGAAGCCGGTGGTGAAAACCTGCTGGGGACTGACTGCTTGCTGCCTAGCGACTGCAGAAGCCACAGCCAAGAGTTAACCCAGACAGACGTAACTAGGAAGCGTTTGCGATTGCACCCGAGGTCGGGCGATGGCACCAGGGCTTCCAATTCTATCCAACTCAGTCCCCGGGCCTCGGGCGGGGAGGCGGGGTGGGAGTCCCCTCCGCAGTCCGCTGCGGAAGCCGAGCTAGGCAGCCCGGTTCCTGCAACTCCTCTGAGCGAGGCAGGGTCGCTGGGGCTCCCGCGCTGCAGCTGCGCGGGAAGGGACGCGGGCGGGAGCGAGCGAGCTCACGGGCGTGTGGGGCTGCAACCTGAGGCCGCAGTGCATATGGCGCCCTGCGGTGAGGGCTTGGGACGCGGCTGGACCCGAGGCGCCTAGCGAGGTTGGTGGCTCCCGCAGCGAGCGCCAAGTGCCGAGAGCTCGCGGCCGCGCGCACAGGCGACGCTGGGAGGGCGGCGGGGGCGGGGCGGGCGCAGAGGGGAGGGGCGGGGCTGGCTCTGACGGACGGGCGGCCGCCGGGAGCGCCTGCAGCCAGAGCAGAGAGCGGCGAGCGCGGCGAGCGCGGCTCGGGCCACGGTCCATGGCCCCGACGGGAGGCGCGCCGCCCGCACCCGCACCCCGGCGTCCGGCCTGAGCGGACCGCGCCGCGCAGCCACCCTGTCCTGGGCTTGGGTTTGGCTTGCAGATCTTCTTAATGGAAGCGATGTCTCCACAGCAGGATGCTCTAGGGGGGCAGCCCGGGCGCTCCTCCTCGCTGACTGGGATGTCTCGCATCGCGGGAGGCCCCGGCACCAAGAAGGTGAGGACGCCGAGCAGGGCGTGGGGGAGAACCTCGGGCGCGCGCCTTCCACGCGTGCCTGGCACTGAGAAGGGTTAACGGTCCCCGCGGGCATTGGGGGGTGGTGTCACCTCCCGGAATCCCCCGCTGCCTCTCTGGTGAAAACCGGTCGCGGAGAAGCCCCCTTGCCTCCAGCAGGTCCCTCTCCACCTTTGACCCGCGAGGTGCCTCCCCACGGGGCCCCCCGAGGTGGCCTTGACCGGGCTGTTTGAGGACGGTAGGAGGCCCAGGAGGGGGCGACTATGCTCCCAGCCCGGGCCTCCCGGGGTGTCAGAGATGGGTGTCATGGGGCCACCCTGCGGGACCCGGAGGTTCATTCAGCTGGCCTAGATATAGGCTGGATAGCGGCGGGTAGGCAGCTTGCGGGGGTCTCAGCGGGCTTGGGGGACATGGCTCAGAGCCACCTCCTGAGAGGGGACCCGGCAGGAGCCTATGGGGGCGGTGCCCTTGTTCCCTGTCACCAGGAGGACCTGTGTGGGCAACTACTTGTAGCATTTGCTTGTGATTGACGGGTCCACGGTGCAGAGGGAGGATTTCCATGGAGGTCAGGTGCCTGCAATGGGTTCCTGAGCAAGTGCACGTGGGCCTTGAGCTTCTGGACTCCCGGGAATTGATTTGGGTATTCCTGTAGCCATGTCTGCCACCCCTTCCTGCAGTACAAAAATCTACCGATAATTGGCCATATTTGTTCCTTACCGTGGTGCTGACTTTCCCAGCTTCTCTGAAAACAAGTTGGGATGAGAGATCATTCTAGCTCTTCCTTAACAAATATGTGAAGACGTTGCATTACTATAATTAGAGACTGAAGGGGATACACCAGTTCCCCGCATGTCCGGATTTTACGGCCTTTCATTAATCTTCCCACTAGGATGGTGGGTTGGCTGGAGGTCAGTGAAGAGAGGTCACATCTGCATAGAAATGTATGTGAGCTCCCAAGGACCTTGGCCCTGTCGCAGAACCATCTATGGGTGTCTGAGAACTTGATGTATGGGTAGTAGTGGAGGCTCAGCCTTTGATGTATGAAGACTGTTTGTCCTTGTCGTGTTTTTTTCCCCTCCCTTCAGAGATGGAGGGAGGATGTGTGTGTGTGTGTGTGTGTAATCCAGTTCTTCTAAATAAAACATGAAAATGTCAGGATGCCATAATTTAGAATGGCAAATGAACATTAAGCAATTGGCATAGATTTAAAGCGTTTTCGGTTTCTGTAAACCTAAGGAATTGGAAAGAATCAGGCATTTGTTTTCATGAAGTGGGGCCCCTCCCCCGTGGCTGATTAAGCACACTAGCATGGGAGTGGGGGGGGGTACATTAAAGAGTAGCTTTATCATTTTCAAGCCCCAATTGTCCCATAATTGAAGGGTGGCTGTGCCCCTTTTCCAGTGTTCTTTTCTCTTGGGCATAGCGTATCACTAGCTACAATAGTGTCCTTCGTTATAAAACATAAACGACTAGTACATTCCCACATCAATCCACTTTCCCAAGACTGTTGAGAAAATTGAATGATGGCATGCAGGCACGATGATGTTAGCTCTTAGTGTATGCATTTCCCCATGCTTGCAATCCACATTTGTGTCGTGGGTTGCTGAAGCCCATAATCTAGAATGGGTTTTAACACCCTTCCTTACTCTGCAACAGCCAATGCTTCAGAGCAGCTACTATCCTTCCAGTGTGTCTAGACTTTCTCCACTCCATCCCCACTGCTACCCCGTAGCCACCTCTAACTGGCGCCTTTGCAGAAACTGTCCCTCTGACACCTTTCTTGTCTTTCTGTGACCCATTCTGCATTTAGCAGTGCCAGAATGGTTTTTCCCAATTGATCATGATGTTCATTTGCTTTCAGTTCTGTGCCAGATTTTTTTTCAAATTGAATTGATCGTGATGGTCATTTGCTTACAAGTGATTCATTTTGTATGCATAGTAAAATGTAGGTCCTTTTCCTTATTCCCTTTAGTCTGTTTCAAGAGTTGTTTTGTTGTTGTTGTTGTTGTTGTTGTGAGAATCTTGAGTCTTCCTAAAGTGCATATCCTCTCTCTCTCTTCTCTCTTCTCTCTCTCCTCTCCTCTCTTTCACCATATTTTTGTATTCATCCTTTTTATTTATATGTGTTAATGCCTTTCATTCCAGAGGGATAAAGATCAAATACCTTGATGTGGGGGTTTCTGATTTCATATATTTTAATTTTAAATTATTTACTTACACATAATGAAATACCCTGTGAATGGATGGCATTCAAGTCTCAATATAAAGTTCATTCACATCTCATAAGCACCTTACTTGCAAAATCTAAAAGTCATTTGGTTCATTGTTTGTAGTTGACCTTACCCATCACAGGAGATGTGCATAGAACTTTCTTCTTACATCTTGGATCAACAATCAGAAAGTTTCAGGGTTTGAAGCCATTTTGGGTGTCAGATTGGGACCTTTGGATGTGAGACCTATAGTGCATTTGTCCATTGAGCTGGTGTTCGGACTGCTTCCATTTCTTGGCTGTATAAGTGAAGCTGCTGAGAGCCTTCACACACAACTCTGCATGGATCTATGCTTTCTATGGGGTAAATATGTAGGTGTGGGATGACTGGGTCATATTTAGCCATATACATGACTCTTCAAGAAACTGGTTGCTTTATTGTGAAGTGATTTTATATTTCCAATAGCAGTGTATGGTAATCCAATTTCTGCATATGCTCACCAACACATCATCTCTCTGTGGGTCACGGTCATCCAAGGGGGGTGTGGAGTAGAGCCTTGTGATCTGGAGCTGCACTTTCTCAATGATTTTGAGTATCTTCTCAAATGTTGGCCATCCACACATTACCTTTGGTGAATAGTCTATTTAAATATCTTTCCAGCTTTTGTTGGGTACTTTGTACATTCTGAATTCAAATCCTTTATTGGGTATACGAACACAACAACAACAACAAAAGCCCCGTGATCTTGTCCCCCAATGGAGGGCCTCACCCTTCTTGGGGAATGGAGTGGGGGATTGGGTGGGGGGCTGGGGGGCCTGGTGGGGAGCTGGGGGTGGAGGGGAGGGAGAGGGAGCTGGGATTGACATGTGAAGCAAGCTTGTTTCCAACTAAAAGAAAAAACCATGATCCTGATTTGAACAGATGCAGGTATTCAGATGAACACTCTAGAGGTACTGGGCTGTTGAAGGCAAGGCCTGTTTAAAAGTGCCCTTTAACTCTGTATAAGGAAAAGACTCTTAAATAAAAAAAAGAATTTCAGTAAGTGGGGGCACATTAAGTCTAGAGATCCAAGGGGAAGAGTCTGTTTAAGCAACTACCTTTAAGGTAATTTTTTTATTTTATGGACTCATTTATTATTTTAACCTCAAGAATTACCTAGCTGGATAACCTGCCTTTATTTGCTATTCATAAGATTTGATGGTCTTTCCAAAAAGTTCTGTCTACCTGAGAAGACAGAGTTTCTGTCATTGGGGGTCCTCAGAAGAACATACAGTAAATTCATGCAGTGTTTCCCAGAATAGGGCTCTCAAATGTAGATACAGTATACAAATGACAATTTAAACTCTCCTGGAATATTATGTTCTTGGTGGATGTCCATATTTGTCCTGCACAGTCCTGGTATGCTGGAAGCCCATAGTAGAGTCATTTCAGTGTTAGGAATGACTGTCATATTCAAACACACTGACCCTTTTACTTCACTTAGTAATTAAAAACTGGTTAATGGGGCAAGGAGTATTGGAGTAGGAAGGAGATTTATAGGCATAGAAAACCGTCAAAGGAAAATAATTTAAAAATAGTTCTAGCATTTCAAAAAGTAGCAGCTGCTGTTACAAACTCTATGGTCCCCTCTTTGTGCATCTTCTGGGTCCAAACCTGTTTATAGCATTTGGTAGTGGAACGCCCGCCCTACCCCCATCAAGAGCGGACTACTTCAGCCAAGTGTATGTGTGGTACTGAACCTTGAATGAAATGACTTAATAGTAAGCTTCAGTCTTAACTCTTCAGTACTGAGTAAAACAAACCCATATTTAAAACTGTATCCTACTGAGTCCTTCCCTAGGCATACTCACAGAGTGAATTGCCTAAAGCCAACCAGGAAGGATTCTTTTGTTACAGTCACTGCAGTCTCTGGGTAATGTTAGGTAAACATTGACTAGCAGCAACTACCAATGCCACATTGGATACCTCACTGAGTCTTGTGCCTTGATGTCTCCCCATTTCTGATTCTCCATAGAAGGAAGGTAGTTATACTTCAGGAATTCTTCAACCCAGACTGATGTCCATGCTCAGCCTTGCCTACTGTTGGAAAGCTTGGCATATTCTGCATGTAGACTTGGGACTGTTTCAAAGATGTATGTGGGTACACAGACTCCTGTGTCTCTGATAACTCTGCTGTGGAAAGGAATGTGTGAGAAATGTCACTGAAAGTTACATCGGTAAACTTAGAAGTCTTGAGTCTGAATTTTAAAAAAAAAATACATCCAGGGGTGAGTCTTCAAATGTGAGCGTAAATCTTACTCTAACATAGAAAAAGGTTAACTTTCTGTGACTTCAAAATTTCACATTGGAACAAAAGAAATTGCTTATAAAATGAGGCACCATCCTTTTTTGTTTGTTTTGTTTTTCAAGACAGGGTTTCTCTGTGTTGCTTTGGAGCCTGTCCTAGTTCTGTCTCTGTAGGCCAGCCTGGTCTGGAACTCAAAGAGATCCACCTGCCTTTGCCTCCCAAGTGCTAGGATTAAAGGCGTGAGCCACCAACGCCTGGTTGAGGCACCATCTTTTAATCAGAATACATTTATCTAAAAGTCTCTCTGTCTCTGTGCATGTATGCGAGTACCCGCATGTTCACATGCAGAGGCTAAAACAAGGCTTTCTGCTTTGCTGCCTTGAGCCAGTCTCTCAATGATTCCAAAGCTTTCCTTCCTACTGGGCAAACAGAGGCAAAGGAGCTCACACTATCTGCTTGTCCCAATGCTAGGTCTGTATACAGCC